GCCGCGTTAGTATGTTACAGTATAACACTAGTTACAACACAGTTACACAATCCTACGGCACGTTGCTCGGGCACATTTCCCGATTGTTCATTACGAGCCGCACCGTATTTCTTTAGACGCGTGTCACAGATACCGACTATCATCGGGAAAGGACGCACAGAGCAACACAATCCCAAGGCGCGTGTATTGTACCACGCGCAGTGGTATCACACCATAAAAGTTGTTTTTATATTTTTATTATGTTTGATTACGAATGTTTTATTAAATTATCAATAAGTAATCAATAAGATGCTTTAGGTTATTCCTTTTAAAATTAAAATTGTACCTACATTCATTTTAACACAAGGCTAATTATTTGTTATGTATTATGTATGTATTAAACATATTAGATTAACTAAACAAGTACCCATTGAATATAATATAACTTATTATTTCTTGTAAGTAATGTAACTAAGTTTATATTTTTTCAAATAATATAGCTTTTAGAAAATCACCTAATATTATGCTCCATGATGGATCACAAAATGTATAATTTACTCAATATTTTTTAAAATACCAATCCACATTAAAACTTAAGCAATTTAAAGATTATAATGATTCTATAACTGGATGAAAAGGCATTAACTAATTTATATTTACTTGATTACATTGATTTCGTTTAAATTGATCTTTGAAAAATAAATAAAAAAATAAAACTCTACTTTGATTACCCGGGTGTAAAATTTCACTTTTAAGGACTGGGCTGATGTGGTTCTACATGCCTCAGATAAATAAAGGCGAATAATATGATTAATGACAAACCCTTACAATCATTAAAAATCATTATTATTTTGCGCTTATAATACCTCTGTATCTTAAGACTATCTCAATCTATTTAGTATCGAAATCCTCAAAATGGGTCCAAAATAGTCACATCGTGAGTTCATGACCCCCTTGAAATAAATACCAATTTAAGATCTCCGCACACTACTCACTGGTGACGCGATATTTGTCACGAGCGATATCCTAGCAAATTGCACGGGGATCCATTAACGGCGCAATTTGATAACGACGCGAACGATGGTCCATACGCGCAACCGGCAGTGCTAGTCGCCTGACTATCATATCGCACGAATTGCATGCAATTTGAAATCGAAAATAATCAAAGACACTGTACGATCGATTGAACATCATTTCGTGATGGTGGACTTAAAATCGCACATATATTACATACCGCCTTTCAATCGCGTAGTGTTCGGAGGGCCTAATTTATAACCATTGATTTTATCACTTACTATGGACCAAACCATACACTTTTTTTTTGTAAAAAATACATTTCTAAGTATATATATTTTTGTTTATAAGCGTTTAATTATTTCTGACCAATATTACTCCCTATATACAGGGCAGTATCAAGGGGGTGGCGAGAAGTGCCTATCCCCCGGGGGCAAAAATGAAAATCTTGCATTTTATGTTAACAATTATAACGATTAATGTCATATTCCTTTTACAAAATCTATAACATATTTTATATTAATTAAAGCAATTATTGAATATAATGTCAAATTGATACATTTTTAAATTAAAAATACAAAAGGGCGCGTTTTGAAGTTTCGCAATGTTTGGTTCCTACGGCACCGCTTATATGTATATGAGATCGTGATACTAAAAAAATAAAATAGAAATAAACTCAGAAGTAAACGAAGAGGAAAAATATTATGAAGTCTTAATGAATAAATATACAATACTTCATAATAAATGTTCAAAGCAATTAATTAAGACATTTAGGTAAAGTCTAAAAATATTTGTATAAATATTCCAAAGATAACATAAATAAATTATGGTATTTCCATGAGTAAATCCCATTCTGCGATAATATAACCGTCTGATACACCATTATTATAAATCTTAATAAGTATAATCCCAACCATTATAAAATGTCCATGTTCTAAAATAAGAAATATTTATGCGGACACATGTTTCGTGTTTGCAACCCTATATCATTTCCCGCCTGAATAAAAATGAATATAGAAAAATACAATAGAAAAACGCGACTTTTTGTACTATATATTAGATTCTGTATATGTTGAAAATTCCATAGAGAATATCTGAAGTTGATTGGTTAATCCAAAAAATGTATAAAAAATTAATTCGTTGAGTGACAGGTATAAAATCTGGATATCTCTAGTAAAGTTATTTAAATCGTACAATTTTATATTATGATAATTATTATTTTTTTTTTCCGACTTTACGATCCATCGAGAATCTTTACCGCCAAAACTACCTCCTTCCATTTCTCTCTATCATACGCTATTACTCGCTAATCCACCCCATCATGGGCTGCCGCATTCCATATCTCATTTATACTGTCTATCCATATTCTTCGTGATCTTCCCCTTGGTCTCTTCCCCTTAATCTCTATTAATTTAGACCTAATAAATATTTAAATCTACAAAATAACGTACGAACACACATGAGTAAAATAGACAAATACAATTTATAAAAATGTGTAATCAGACCCGTATGCAAGAATCGTCTAAGAGAGAGGTTCAATATTATATACGTTATAATAAGTAAAAAGTCAATAAAAAATAAATACAAATTGAATATCCATGATCAAAAATATCAAGATCGAAAATCAATAAATGTTAACAAATGTCTGAACAGCTGACTTGTTAGTGAACATATGTACGTTCTATCGATGGCTGCATTTAAACAGAGCGCTACAAGATGGCAAGTGCAAATGGTCAGTCTAAGAGTATCTCTTTATTAATACATTTTTCACACCAATTCATGATGTTTTAAGAATATTATGCAGATATTTATGGCGGAATAGGCTTGACGGATAACAGTACCTAAAAATCGGCGTACAAAACGCGATAGACAACGCAGTGTATAGCCCCAACCTAATAAGGAACAACTTGTTATTGGATATTTTATATAATACTATATGAACTACATAGTTAATTTATTGATAGTATCACTCCAAAAGTTATTATGATACATAATATAACATCACCAGACAAATTGTATTTAATTTAATATGTGTTTTATCATATTTATCAATACAATCATATTCCGTATGCAACAACAAATTATAATATATTGAGAATTTGACTTGTCCATCAAATAAATTATTTTATCCAGCTATTATTGTTTTAAAATCCATTATAAAGGATTAAATTGATTCACTATATTTTTTAATTATTACTATTTTATGGTTCATTTTTTAAAAGCGTTGAGCCTTAAATAATATACTAATAAATAAACACAAATAAATAATTTTAATAGGAAGGATGTAACAAAACAAAATTCCTGCATATTAATAAAACTCTGGCTTAACCAACATTATTAGAGTACCATATTTTCTAATAAGCTCTCAGTATAAAAATATAAATCAATTAAGTATAAAAAGAACAGCTACAATTTTTCTAACACAGTTAATTAACCATCAAAAGGAAATCGTTCCTGGGCCATACACATAATACAACATAAAAAGGTATTGAATTGAAAATGGAGTATACCCACTTTTTATTAATGAAAATAGAACAAATCAAGCAGAGATTTAAAACATTAGTACAATAGGAGATGAATAAATTAGCTTCGGATTTTTTTATTGTTATTAAATGACAATGACAAACAGAAAAATATTTATGAAAACTATTATTTTAGCTTTTAAGAAGACATACTATGTTAGGTTATTTCTACAATTTATACAGTTATTTAAAATTTGGTTCATATTTTTATAATTTTTTTTTTCAAATGATTCATCGACTAAAATATTTTTTTTATATCATTATACATTTATTAATATAAATTAACACAATAAAAATTAAAAAATTAGTTAAATACAGCATACACTATTGAGAACATATCAAAATGCCGAATAATATTGATATCTAGAATCCCATATATGTAATCAAATTTAATTTTCAGATATTAATTAATATAATTGTAATAATACTTATAAGACCTATAAATACAATCAAATTAAAATATGTACTTACTATTCTAGACAGGTAGATCATAAAAAATTTACTAACAAAACTGAAGAGTTACCAATTTTTAATATAATATTTTTAACTATAAATAATAGTATCTTATGCTATTTTATATAATTAATTTCAAAATAAATAATATGAAATAGTTACTTAATAATCAGGTACAAGAATAATATAAATTTAATAGTATTTATAGTCAATATAAGAAGATATATAGCCTTTATTTGGTTATTCATTATTTTTTTTTTAAACCAAAAATAAACCTAGAACAACTGTTAGGCATTACTTCAGGTAGCAGGTATAAAAAGCCTGTAAAAGATATAGTTTTGAATTTTATATAACATAATATAAAGATAAATGCAATCAAAAAATAATGTATGTCCATTTAATGTATAATAATAATTAACTAATTTTTATTGTACTCAGTAAAATTATTTAATAGATAAAGATAATTTATAAGTAAAATGATCTGTATGGATAAATGAAACATTCGTAATATTAGTTATTTTCAAGTGTGAATAGATACCGTATTGTGTAATATTATATATATGTCATAATTAAAATAACTATTAATTTAAAATTTTAAAAATAAAAAATACCTTCAGATGAATAACTGAAAAATATAAAATAAATCGTATAAATGCAAAAAGCCACAGCATTAAATAATAAAATATTATGCCTATCAATTATTTTATGATATCTATAAGTACATTTTATTATAATAAAATTAATTAATAGTGGCAAGTACTATTAAACTATTAGCAATATTTCTTAGTATATATATATATATATATATACATATATATTGTTGTTTACTTTTGTGAATATTCATATTATATCATATATTTTATATTTTATGACAATTCCTCCATTAATTTAAAAAAATTATGAAAATTCAAACAAACCATTAAAAACTTTAATCATAGCACTAATAGTGCACTTCGGTGAAAACTAGAAAACTATCTCATGAATATTAAAAAATAATTTGTTTTTGATTAAAAAAAAAAAACATTTACATACCAAAACTTTTGTGAACCGTCTCTCTAGCTCACTCTTGTCTGGCATTGGTACTTTGGTCCGAATGCTCGCTCGCAAATTATGAGTCCTGGGCAATTCTACAGGCAAATGAAGATGGTGTTGTGGAGTAGAAATTGGCGAGCTGTACTCGGACTTGCCACTTTGCGAGTTGCCCATCTTCACATCAACTAATTTTGCTTGCGGCACAAAAAACTTTAAACAACATAAAACTCTCACCTCGTCACCATTCCGCATTTAAAATCGATGATATTCACTGAACAAGTAAAATAAAAACTTTCAACAGAAATGCAACAGGTGCAGATCTGAACATATGGATAGCCACACACATTCTGAAGAAAAACTATTACATTATAATATATTTGTGATCACGATATAATCAGGAAACGCGTTGGAATACTGTTAAAATATTGGTATTTGATCGCGATTTTATTTAGATTAAAATATAACGAAAAACAAAACAAATATTCGAATTTCTATCACATAATTGAAAACCACAACATACAGTATCACTCGCGAGTACAGAGAGACTGAAAACGATTGACAATAGGCGGCGTAGCGGCAGTAAACGCAATGATAATTCAAAAGAACAAAACGAGATGGCAGCTTGTGATTATTTTGCAGTGTTGCCCGAACGCCCAACTCCAAAACTCTCGTAAATTGAAGTATCAGTTAATTTAATATCCAGTTTCAAATCAATCAGTTTTAAAAAAATGTTCAATTATAATTGCAAATATAGCAGGTCTTATTCAAACGGACAATTGACTTTATGAATATAGGCACCTTACAGAATTATAATTTTCCTTATAGAATGATTGAATTTCTACGGAGTATTTAAAATTTGTGTAATTTATAAACCCAACCTAGTAACTAATAAGTAATAATTATGTAAGTTTACAATCTTTACTACTTCGATGATTGATTAATACATAAAATTTAAATTTAAATAGTGGCATACGTATAACGGAAAAGATCTGTATTTTTTTTAATATTTTACTACGCGATGGTCAAAATTCTAAAATATCAATATACAATTTATTTGGGGAAGTAGTAAATATAATAATCCAAGTAAATTTCATAAAACAAACTTTTCAGTGAGTTTGGGGAGTAGGTAAAAATCCTTAGAATAAGCCCTAAAGTAAGTGGCGTATATAGGGGAGGGGGCTAGTGGGCTACAGCCCCCCCTCGAAATGTTTTAAAAAACTTAAAAATTATTTTAAATGTTTATTTTATTTTAATGATGCTTTATGCTTATTTAGAATTTGCGTCCAACGTCAAATCGTTTTGGGACATTCTGTAAATTAAATGTAGATAAGTACCTACTGTTTTGTTAGTAATTTTTAGATAGCAGTGGTAATTTAACTCTGTCCATAGTAGCTCCTTCCGAAAATATTTTCTGTATACGCCACTGCCTGAAAAATAGTATTTACTAATGCTAAACACGGAGTCAACGATTATCATTGGAATAAATAAGGAAGACGAGGTCTTGGGAAGACTTAGATCCCAAATTACTGGCAAGTTTCCCAAAATTAAGTACTAAATCAGTTACAAAAATGTTATATAGTACATTTTTTATAAATTTAGTATGTGGGGAAGGAGGTATGAATCACTAAAAAATGTGGACTTCTTACGTTTATGCCAATTTGTAAGCCACACGTTGTTCGAAACTTATTGCTTTTGAGGATAAAAAAAAAACATATAATAATAATAATATTCAACGACCAAAAATAAAATAAAAAGTGGAAGTATTATGCAAGATACCTCCTATGTCTCTTTACGTTATATGCATACTATTCGCGCAAAAGTTATTGAAAATTGTTGCCCGTGTATCGCCAGTTGTGCGACGACCAGTTTGATTTGTGGCGTAGTTATCTTTGACGCATCGCCCATCAAAGTAATTTTAACATGACGCGTGATCTGACGAGTGATATGACAAGTAACGTGTTAGTAACGTGTAATTCGTAAAATGTTATTTTAAATTATAACGGAAAATCACTTAATCGCGCTCACCTATTTGACATGTCAGATCATGTGTAATATTGTTGTTACTTGTCGCGCAAAATAATAGAGCTTGTACTACTTTTTGTCATTTGTCACGTGGAGAAGTGCATAGATGTCGATAGGTTGACGACGTGTGCTAAAGTAAAAAGTTTTAAAAGTTTTTTTTTTCGTAAAAATATTAAAAAATAAAGTAAATACTTATACTTATTAATACACATTCAAAATATAGTGATACCAGATACCATATTTATATAATTATTATATTTATAACCTATATTTGTGAAATTTTTTTTAATAGTTTTATTACCTACGACTATACCCAACCATAACTATGAAGGACGATCCGGATTTCAACATACAGTTTTTTCGATCATTGAAAATCATCCTTGTGTTTATGATTATAATACAAAAGAATATTTTTGCAGGATTGCACAAGATAAAACTTGGGAAAATATAGGAAAAGAAATTGGAGCTACCGGTTAGTTTTCTTTTTTCAATAAATGATTAAAATAATTGAATTAAAAGAATTATAATATAGTACAATCATTTTTGTATTTGTACTTTAAATTTTACAATTAATTATACTAAATAGTATATTTGTTTTACCATGGTAGTGATCCATATGGTTTTAAAAAATAATTGCACAATCTATCTTTTGATTCTACCGCAGCATTAGATGGTCTTCTTCTATTTACATTTTCATGTGAGTTGAAGCTAGTGTAACTAGAGCTAGTGGATTCAGTTGATTCTTATAAATTTGCTGAAGATGAATAAATGCCATCGTGTGTACGTAAAATTATGCAAAACACATAGTGCTTTTACTAAAGTATCAACTATTTCAATTTTACGACATATCGGGCTTTTCAATGTTCTAAATTTTGATGTCATCATTCTGAAAGCATATTCTACTGATTTACGTCCACGGGAGAATATAAATTAAGAAAAAGTACACATTTGAATAATACATTATTTTTCTATTAGATTCTGAGAAGAGCGAAAGAATATATTGATTTTACAATGTATATTTTGTCAAAATCACGAAAATTATTGCGAGTCATTTCCTAGTTAAAAATTCAGAAAATTATTTAGGCTGTATAGAATATAATTGTGATTAAATAACAATATTATAAAAATTATTGTATTAAAATTAGAAAATTAATTAGTATGAATATATTACGTAATTATGTAAAATATAGTTATGACTTATTGAAATTACCTGTAGTTAAAGATACTTTTTGCATTTATTAATTGCCTCCTTGGATAGGGTCTCAATAAATTATTTTTCAGAGGAAAAGCTTCATCACCAACAAAATAATAGAGATATGGTGGTTCATTTTCTTCTCCTGGTAAAGTTAATGGTTCAGGTAAATTTAGTTTGTTTTGCGGTAATTGTTGACCAATAACATATTCTTTTAAAACGTGTCACAATAGTGACCATATTCTCCAACGTCTATTGTAATCAATTTTCCATCGGCATCTGCCGTTGCCATTAATACTATAGAGAAGAATCCTTTATAATTGTAGAATGCTGATCCAGAATTGGCTGGTGCTTTGATCCTTATATGTTTACCATCAATACTGCCGACACAGTTAGATAGATTCCAAAGTTCTTAATATCTTTCAGCCACATTTATCCAAATTTCTTTAGTTGGCACTGGCATATATAATGGTTGTAATATATTCTATAATGATTCACTCGTAGTTTCTACTATATTTCTTATATTAGTTTCACCTCTTAAAAAATAGTACGAAATAGCCTTCATTGATGATTCGCCAGCAAAATATCTAAATAATAAAACAATTTTCTATTCTAATAACTTATACTATTATATAGTTGTGTAGTTTATTTATATGTTAATAAAAATAGACAAAATCACGAAAAATGTGTAAATTATTTTGTACTCGTAATAAAAATTTTGTTTTATATTTATATGTTTGAAAACTGTAGAAGTGCCTGAACTTGAAACTTTTCACCATATTTTTACTGTTGTATTTAATTATTCACAAAATAATAAGTTAATTATATGGTTTTATTTTTTATTCATAATTTTAATTTTTTTCTGCCCAACTCTATTCCATAAAGTTATGCTGTGTTTCAAACTATAGTTTATATTATGAGCGTAACTTGGAAATTTATTAGGGGGGGGGGGAGCAAATATATAATTACATATCTAACGAAAATGGTGTCCGAGGCATGGGCATAACATGGGCAATTCTTATAAGGGCAAACTTTATTTTATGTCGATATACCGTGTACTTAATGATACTTAGAGACTACATATACTTAATCAGAGGAAACTGGAAAGCATGAGATAATAATATTATCTAAGCTAAATCTATATTTTAGCATGTAAAATTCAATTAAATGGCATGATGGAAAAAGTTTGATAAGATGGTTTATTTAATAGAAGCATTCTGCATTTCTATACTTTAACATATTACTTAATTTTTACATAAAATAGAATTTATATCCGTTGTCCATAAGTCATAACGTTATAATTTGTAGTTATTATATATATCATAATAAATGCTATACGAGACAATTAATTATGTTTATGTAATTATTATACTAATAATATTATCAAAACTTAACTCTAATATTATACCTTACAAGATGTCTATGATAATTGAAATCTTTTACCTCTTTCTATTGAATTTGCATCAAACTGATCTATAATTGTATTAAAATTAATTTTAAAAGTTTTTTCAATTTGTAAAATAGCCATAATACTAAGTCTTTCTTGTAAATGTTTTGAAATGACGAAGTGATGAAAACGAACGTTCACTCGATACAGAATTCATTGGAATAGAAAGAAAAAAATTATAAATAAATTAAATATTGTCAAATGAGCCTATCAAGTCTTTTTCCAAATACAAATTTAAATGGGCATCAAAATTTTCAGCAATATTATTTGATGAACACATTTTCCCGAAGAGCATTAATTCTACCTTTAAGGCATCAAAGTTAATATTGTAGGTGTAACAAACTTCTAAAATATCTTCATTCCTGTTTTTTCTAGTGCTTAAATAATTTTGAAAAACGTTAAGTATTTTTAAATTATTTTCTGAAAATTTTGTTTTTATATCATTTATAATTATATGTAACACAGGAAAATAAATATTAATTTTGAAATACGATGCAACGTTTCTCGAAATTGAAGTTTCACCATCACCTAATCTAAAGGTATTGTTCTTATTCTTGGCATTAAGGATAGTGAAATACATTCTTTGATAGC